ATTTATTTACCCCCTAAGTTTAATAGCGTAAAAATATATAGACTATAGCGTGTTGTTAGTGTAGGGCTTTTTGTTAAAGAATTATTACAAACATATGCTGTGATTGCTGACATCCTACGCCACGTAGTGTGTGTTTGCACTTTATTGTATAGGTTATTGAAAACAATAAATTACAACCCAACACAGCAACTCTAGAAATACTACAGCCAATAAGCCACCCACATCATGGTAATTTAAAAAGACAGGAAAAGTTTGCTCCAAAATTATTCCAAAGTCGAAAATCTAATTCGACAAGGGTACCCACTGACCCTGGGATGACAAGGGTCTCTATACAAAGTCCAACGATGTTTATAGGATTAAAAAAGGGACATTTCAAAGCTGAAACACGTTATTATTCTGACATAGGTTAAGTTAGGTTAGCAGTCATTCGTCACTGTCCCCGCCATAGACAATTTTTATTCAGTATCGACGTACATTCTTTTTCACTGACACATGTAATCAATAAAATAGAAAAAAAAACTTCCGCAACATGCAGTACTGTTGTACAATTTTGAGTTTTTAGCTTGTGACATCACATAAGACACTGGTCCATTCATTAAGAAGTGCCATAGACAAGAAACTGAACTGAAGCGTTTAACCATCTTTACAATCAATTATCTTGTTAAAAATTGTGCACAGTGCAAGCATTTTTAAAGATTTTCCAAAGTTAGAAAAGCATAATCTTCAAGGAATTAAAGTTAAATCCTCAGATCTACTGTGAACCTTGCATTTGTAAAGCCATGTAGGCTACTCTTTCAAGTATGTGCATCTCTGTTTACCCGTTTTGCTTATAGAGTACTTTATTTAACCCTTTTTATAAGCAATCGTAAAAGATATTAGTTCCATTTTAAACCAGTTAGAACCTTGACATGAATATAGTTCTCGTAACGGGGTCGATTGTGCAACCAAAAGAAATATTATAAACAAGCTATCGTACTAAATAAGCCGAGATGCAGAAATAACCTATTCATAGAACTTCACATATAGTATCAATTGAGATTAATTACACTGTTGAAGTCGATTGGAAATTTCTAGAATACAAAACATTTAGTTATATTCTCGTTCAGTAGTAAAAAGATAGTAAATCTATACTATTATAATAAACCGTAAACACACACTTATTTGTTGCTTTAGATGTCAGCAATTAGAGCATATTTTTGAATAATTCTTTTTATAATAAAAGCCCTACACTTATGTTACGCTTTAGGCTATATATTTCACGCCATTAAACTTAGAGGGTAAATATTTTGGATAAAATCGTTAATGTGGGAAAGAATCCATAAGTTGCTGCCAACATCAAGAAAGAAAGATTGCCAAGGTTTGTAATGTCATGTCATTTTGACATTTGCTATTGATAATTTGATAAATGTAAACAATAAAAGAAAATGTTCATAATTTTATGCGGATGAAGCCGCACGGGAACAGCTAGTATAATGATAGAAATTAACAAAAGACAGCTGACGCTTCCATATAGGGTATAAGCTAGGAAGAAAGAGATAGTTGTAGTAAAAGATGATGCCTTAGTTTATCTGAAGACAGTTATAGTCAAAGAGTCTTATGGAATTTTAGAACATTGTATGCTCATGGACTCTAAATTCAAATTCTTATAAGTAACTAAATAAATTCAATGTCGTAATTATGTAAAAAAATCTTCATACTTGAAAATCGTGTCATTTTCCTGTTACATATAAGTAGAACATAAACAGTTTAAGTCACTATAAAACAGCGTATGTAAAGTACATAAGAGTGTCGCATTAATCTTGTTAATGCTAATTTAACGACACGAAGACCATATGACGAGCTTTGAGCTTTCATCTTATTATGCTTTTCACTGATGAAAACTACATCGTGTACAGAAACAAACAAACTTTTGATGATATAAACTTCTATATCTACTGCTGAATAGATTTTAAAACGTTTTGAAATAATTTGCAACTAGCATGTTAGTTATAACTATAGATTTTAATCTAGGAGACGATTTGAATCGAATTGAAGCTCTGAAGCCACTGCAAATTGACACTGAAACCAAGCACTGGCTACAATAATTTTACTAGAACAATCATTAGTAGTACTAGGTTTACTAACGTGACGTCACAAGGAATGCCGTGACGTCAGCAGATTCAAGAATATCGCATTACAGGTCAACGGAAACCTCACAACTGCGGCCACTAAATCGATTATGGTTCACATCCTAGCTAATAAACTGCACAAGTTTGATATTAAAATATAAACACCCAGCATATCCAAGTCTTAACAGAGAGGCTCGGAATACACCCTAAGTTAAGGGTAACTAGGTTAGACGATAGTCAACTACGTTGGTCCACTGCGAGTTCACTTGTCACATCGCTGTAAATTTATATGCAATGAAATTTAAAAATTACATAGAACATTATCTATGTTACTCAATGATAACGTAGCTTTTCAATGGTGGAAGAATTTTTTTAATCGGCCCAGTCATTTTTGAGTTGTTTCAACACATACAAAATCCAGAAATACAAATCTTCCCTCTTTATAATATTAGTATAGATGTAGGTGGAATGCATGGCTAAAACAACAGTGTAGTTGTTAAAGAAACTAATGAATCGTGGAAATGAACGGCTATCAAAGTATAAAGGTGCATAGTTTTAATGGAGTCCAGGGCCACGGTCGGTACGGACAATATGTTCTATAATGAAACGCGACCGGCAATTTGCGATTCGCCACGTCGCTTCGAAATCCTATTCCAGTAAAACCCTTTTTTTACTGAGTGATAAGTTGCGCGAACGCATTTCGAAGAGTAATCTATAGTACATTCCCCGTGACGCAACTGTGGTCATAGAAATGGCATTCAATCGGCCACAGTCGCCCTAGTGAAAAAGAGATCTTAGAGTTCATCGTCTTAACACGGTTTGCAATTAACCACGGTGCTGTCCACAATTCTTCTCACGAGGGGAATTATTCAACTATTTCTCGTATCTTTACTTGAAATTGATTATTACAATCTACATTGAACATCTTTATAAATTATCCTTACTGGCAACACAGATAATGTTTTATGCTGTTCTTTTGTGTTTCTATTTCTATCAAGTATTTAAAGCGTAATCACAATGCGGCATGAAGAGACACGCATTCCCATATGCCATTTATACCACATTCTGATTTATAAACATTGCAAACTGGCAACTCTGGAATTTTGGTCCTTCTAATAATTGTCATTTTATAGTAATTACTATTTTTATGCGAACTATGAACGCAATTTTATTTGCTAAAGGTATGTTTCTTGTTTGTATTATTTGCCTTTTTATATCATTTTAAAACAATGTAACGGTTGCTATGAAGAATGCGTTAATAACACGTAATAAGGTAATTATTTCGATTGTTTGTTTGATTATAACTAAGAAAGGCATGACAATTACTATTGTGACTAAAGATATAAATACTTTTCATGTTATCATTGCAATTAAGTTAAAAAAGTAAATTATAAGTAATGAGTGATGTTTTATTGCAAAATGTAATCTGCAAGACTATGTAAAACAATGGTGCGATTGATATTGCAAAATAGTTGTATAATAATGGGTAATCGGATTATAAAATAACCAAATTTCTAATCGATCTGACTGAATATTTTCTGATTCACATATTTTTTTTCATACGATGTACCATATCTGTTTATACATGCGGGACGTAAAATGCATTGTACTATGCAGCAGGCTCGTCCTCGTCGTCATACTTCAATACATAATAGAGATCGCCGAGCACAAGTCTGACGGGTTCATACCGCCCCCCACCCGCCGCAGACCCGGTGAACAGCTGACGGCCCCACAACAAAGAACAGCACCCACACAAACAAAGAACGTAGTTAAACACGCGTACCAACTTATACAGCGTATCGATTCATTAAATAGAAATTGTCTCTATTGCATATAGTAATCAGTTAATTGTTACAAAACAACTCCCCACGACCCTGATGAAAATGACTTATTACGTGTGGTGATAGTGATCGGTATGGATATAACAAAGGGCCTACTTGCCTTTCTGTTCATCCAATACGCGAACGCTCTCGAAATGTAGCACTATAAAAATCAAGTCTTTCCAACAAAATATGTTCAAAACAAAAGTTATTAGAAAATTCACGTATCCATTGCAGAAATAGTCAATAATCACTCGAGTCGTATTTCACTTCTCGGTTGCTATGGTACTGACGTATACCACGACACAACTATTTAATAATGATTTGATAATATAAGGATATATCGTCTTTGTTTATAATGTTACGGGTTTTTATGTATTATTTACATCACTTTCCAGCGGCCTGCGAACGTAATAATCGGTGCACTGCCTGCGCAATTTATTTGCGCTGCTGCGTCAAAAACAATCGCTTCTCAACTCGAACATTGAAAGGAACTTGATTTTTTGTCTCAGTCTAGCCTAGAACTCGTGTCTAGTTTGTCTCGCTCTATTTGACGTTTACGATCAGTGTTGCTGCTATTTTGGTAATAACTAAAGGCCATGTAGATAATATAGTGTAGTTCTACACGAAATATGTCTGTTATTCTTGAATTTTTTATTTTATCCACACTGCTTTCTTTGAGAAAATAGATATAAAATCTTTTAATTACATAATAGTCATAGCTGGGCTGGTGGGGAAGGGTATAAGGTAGGGGATGGAAGGTTATTATGTTGGTATAGTAGGCAATACATAATTTAGAATCTCCTAGCATACACTGATCATAACATGATTTCTATTCAGACATTTGTGACTATTTTCTACACTGAATTTTAATCTTTCAGTCATAGGATTTTCTTGGGGCATGTCCTCGGTTCTTTGCTAATTTAACTACAAATTGAATTCAATTGATAGACACCTTTTAAAGGTTGTCATTGAAAAAATACCTGGGGGTAACAAATGCAAACATATTCCAACAGTAAGACTTAACATTAAAAACGCCATAATAAAACAGAAAGAAATCAAAAGTGCTAAAGCATGTATAAAAGATGTATTTTTAGACATAAATAATAGGATAATGAATAAGCAAGAAATAGTTATATTTTAATTATCATATGACAAGTTATGTACATCGGAGGAGCTATGTGTTCTTGTGCCAGAACTTGGATGCGTTGCGCGGCGTCTTGCTCTTGCCGGAGGACTTCTTGGGCGCGGAGTGCGCGTCGCTGCCGCCGCCCGCGCCCGCCTCCTCGCTCTCCGCCTGCGTCTTCAACGTCTTCTTTATGTACGATATCTGCCAGAAAATATCACACATGTACATATGTATAGTTACATCAGGTGACAAACATATGGTCTCGTAGGACTGCTGTCTATAGGCATCTACACTAATATAATGGAAAATACTTTATTTTGTAAAAAGTCAGCAATTACAGCATATTTTTGAGTAATAAAAAATTACGGCACACTATAAATTCTCATGCTATTTAATTTAGGTGGTGAGTGAGCAAGACTACCAACCAATAGCAGCAAAGAATAAAGATTGCCATGGTAACGGTAATTGTTAGGCAATGGCAAAGGCATGTAAAAGCTTGAAGATACAATCACAAGCTCAATAAATGTCCCCACTGAGGAGTTCGCAGCCTACACTAAGGGGGTGACGAAAGTATGCATTTGTTCACCAAAATGTATTTATGGTCAGAAATTGAGATTCTAAAGTTATTTTATTTGAGATCATTATTATGGAGCTGACTGTACAGTGATACATTATCTCCCTTTTCAATAATTCCCTTCTTCTGCCTTCCTTTATTATTTTCCCAATAATCGTGATTACTTCCCATTGTATTTAAATGTGTTTACATAGAGTAAAATGCAATTTCTAGCCTTAACTACCAAATGGTTCTCAATGAACTTTGGCATTGATATGTAAAATAGTCTAGAAGACTACATAGACAATTTTTTTTTTATTCCACCTATACAAAGTTATATAGAATGACATAAGTATAGCATATTACATACCTCTTGTTCAATGCCCTGTTGATGTCTGAGAGCTTTCTGTTTATGATTGTTGGCACGCTGTATGTGTCTGTCGACGGAGCTGAGCACCGCTTCACATGCGTTGCACCAGTCGGCTAACACATCTGCGATACCGGATGCATCCTCAAGCCTGGCGTCCCTGCCTAGTGCTACATCTACCTCCACACGCTTGCATTCCTGATCCAGCTTACCGTGAATTATATCTGTAATAGTAAACAAATAATGAATAATATTTACCAATTAAAAGTTAGGCAAAATCTATACTAATATTGTAAAGAGGAAAGATTTGTATTTTTGTATGTATTGAAATAACTCAAAAACTGCTGGGCTGATTTCAAAAATTCTTTTAACATTAAAAAGCTATGTTATCATTAAGTAACATAGGCTATATTTTTAGTTCCACATGGACAAAGTCACAAGCAACAGCTATAAATGTATAATTTGTTTTTACATTACAATAAGGTGTTATTCAAATCATTTTACTAGGGGAGTCATGGGTGTTGCCAGACATAAAATGTTTTATATCTGTTTTACATTTTTTAAATCTTTAAAAATCCATAATAGATATGGTAGCTATCCGTTTTAGAACTAATTGATTGACAGACAATAAGTGTGAATATTACCGCATAGCCTCACCTGCATAAATTGCTTCTATAATTAAATCTTCCAAGTCTCTAACATTTTTGATATCTAATTCCTTTAATAGCACACTATATGGGATACATTTCTCCTGTGTTGCCAGTGTTGCTATTGTCAGATGTTGAAGTTTCTTGCATTGTACAGGAGTGAGTTCTAAATATTCAGCCTTGTTCTCTAGGTACTCTTTATATGTGCCATAAGCAAATAGATTTAATGTCTTATAATGTGTTGCATAGGGTCCAGTTTCCAACTGAAAAAGCGATTTGGTGATGAAATAACGGATTTACAATAATCATTCCAACAGAAGTACTAACTAAAACTGTCTAGCATAATCTAATCAAATCTTTTTCGTGTACAGACATAAAAAACGGAGCACAGCATGTTGTCCTATTGGGAAACTAAATGTTACCTTTAACAAGGATAGACAATAAAATTTTCCAATTACATAAAATATAATTATTCAAACATACTAACCTCTTTAATATTTGGCATTTCTAGAAGTTCGCCGAAAACATGCACCCCCGGAGCTTCTAGTACTTGCTTTATTAGTTCAGCACATGCAAAACCTTTGGCACCCTTTGCTAATAGCACGAACTGTTCCAGTGGATGATTTGTGGAAAATGAAGACAAAGATGAAGGCTCATCCCTGTCCACCGACATAGGATTCATATCGTTATTTTCTCTATTTGTACACTATTAACAAATTTATTTTTATACCAATTGAGTTGCTGTAACGTCTACAATTAAGTTGCAAATCATTAAATAAAACTAATTTGCCAAACAATATAAAATAAACGTTTTATTTTACTCTTGTCTCCTTTTCTTCAATGAGATAGTTTGACAGTTGAAGTTATTGCGTTACCAATTGCAAAAACTCTGCCACTAAAAAGCTGAGCACCGTCAACAATACTGTATCGATTTTGCTTTTTCAGTCTTTAATATTCATTTAACACTATGAAAATTTCTTCGTACACATTTTTATGAATGTTATATTAAATTGCAAAAATAATATACTCATAAATTCACTATGTATAGAATTAAAACAAGTAAACTAACAATGGAAAGAAGACGTTTTTGGCATAATAACCATTTACCATTGTAATTGATGATAAGTCTCTTTTAAAAACTTTAAGTGACCATAAACAATAAAATGGCGCCTGGTTTTTTGTGTGTGCGATAAAATTATTGTTTTCGTAATACTGAAATGTGTAGTTGAGTGTTAATGTTTTTATGTTGTTTATAATATAGAATATATAATGAGGTACCGTTACACGATAAATATGCGAAAATTTGATAAGTTTAAGACAGATTACGTGTGTGTCAATCATGTCTGCAGCGTCCTATACCGCCTTTTTTACTGACTTGATTGGTCTAATTTAGTAGTAATCGCCGTGAGTTTTTTACTTAAATTCAATAAAAGTTTGTTAACTATTGTTTATAAGTGTATGTGTTATCAATAACAAGTGTGCGGCGTTGTGTTTTTGATGGGTGCGTTTTGCGTTAGTAGTTGTGAAAGCGTTTATGTAGGTAATGGGCGAACTGTCATGAGTAGTGTTTACTATCGAGTGTGTGGACTTGTGTTGGTTAATTTGTTTATCGGCGCGGCATAGGATTTGTTGTCAACATGTGTATGCCAACGCCAAGTAATGTGTCGGGCTTCGGTTACTCGTGGGGCTTCACCAGCTCCGCCGACCTGACGAAGGGCGAGGTGGAGACTCCAAGCAGTTTAAGTTATACTTTAGGGAATACGGTAAGTTGTTTCTTGTTCTCTATGCATTCAAATCATAAAGAAATCGTAAAAATAGTTTTAGTAACATACTGGAAAAACAATTACATAGTAGTGATCAAACATAATAATAAGACATCTAAAATTTTGGTCAACTTGTATAAGAATTTGTTGAAAAACAAAGAAGAACTGGTCATACTTATGCAAATAAGAAACTGATTGCATTTGTGTGTAGTTCACAATAATAATTATTGTTCATAAACAGAAATGTTACATTAAAAGCAAGTTAATTTTTTTTATCCTTTTTTCATGTTAATGTTAATTTAATTTTATCCGATACCAAAATTAAAAAAAAATTAATCAATTGCAGATTTCACCTGAAACCACATTGACTGTTATGTCACATAAGACACCGCAGGTGCAGGAGAAAGTTGGTACAGTAGTAGCAGTATCTAATGCAGCGCAGGTGACAAGGGTTGTGGCAACTGGCACTCCGGTCACTTCACGGAGGATGTTTGTAGTGAGTGAGGCTCCCGCACACACACTGAACAGGGTCACACAGCAAAACCAGACTGCGACTATACAGAGTAAGTTGTTAATATGCACTTAGTACTTAATTTAGTTAAATCAACTTAGTAAAGTTTTTTTACAGCTTAAGTTTATGTTTATAGTAAATGTTAAAAATAAAAAAGACATTGTATGAGACATTCATAAAGTACGCTGAGATATTATTGACAAAACTTCTCAATTATTTTTGTTAAAAATATTTTTATGTGTAAAAAGGTGAAATTTATAGTTTTTATGTTAGCAATGTGCATGAAGTAATTTAAAGTTCATAATCTTAGTTTTATAGTAGACAATCTAAAAAAATATTATTTTTTTCAGCGACAAATCTAGCTCCGAAACAATTTCTCACACCAATCGGTCCTATACAATTAACAGCAGAAGAATGCAACGAAATCTTAATGAAAAGAGCACTGCAAGCGCAGGGTATAGCAACTCCTGTGATAGACACATCACAACTCAGCCACACCTTGTTGAATGGCAGCCTGAAAACAATAACGGAAGCAGCACAGAGCCAAGCTGACAACATACAAACCACAACAGTACATCAGCATAACATGCTGCATACGAAACAAGAACCGGGAACTGCTAATAATTCACCCAAAGTAAGTATTTATACCTTACTAGCTTTCAGCTACTCCGTTTGTGCGGAATTAAGATAACTTGGCATATGTTTGTTAAGCCATTTTTTTAAATTTTAGTCTATGGTAATCTTTCGTATGAGTTTCTTTATGGAGTTTAATTATTCTTCACAAAATTATAATAAAGCCACTAAACAGTTTTCCAAGTATTTGTAGTATAGTGTGTAGCGAGTAGTACAGTGTGGGAGGTTGAGGCGGTGTATTCTCAGACGGAGGTGCTAGGCGGCGCGGTGCT